ATTCCCTCCTGCTGTGTTCCAGGTGAGCTCCTCGGGGGCTGCAGCCCGGGATGGCCGTCTCAAGGTGGGGATGAGGATCCTGGAGGTGAACCACCAGAGCCTGCTGGGGATGACACACACCGAGGCCGTGCAGATCCTGCGAGGAGTGGGTGATGCTCTCCTGGTGCTGGTCTGTGATGGCTTTGACCCCAAAGCTGCAGCTGCCATTGAGGTGAGGAATGGAGTGCAGGTGTCCCTGGAGTGGCCACAATCCCACCACAGAATGCTGGATTTGCCCAGCCTTTCGCTGTAGATTTTTTTTGTTTTTTGAGGTCCCAGATTTCAGTCTGACCTGTAATATGGACTGGAGGGGGTCTCAGTCCAGAAAAGCAGTGGTCCCTCAGAACTCTCTTTCTCCTGCTGGTTTTAGAGCTGTCCCACAATAGCATTGCACTGAAAAMCAAAAGTTTTCRAGCTCRTTTTCATAGGCTGTTGATGYCCATTTTTTCYTAGCTAGTGTTACATTTACAGTAAMTTGTCTGGATCTTTTGGTGTTTGTYTTTCTCCAGAGAGTGAAACTTCCCAGAGCAATCCTGTGCCCTCTCAGATTTCTATTTTCAAGGCTTAGCTAGYCAGCTTTTGTATTCTCCAGCAGAACAAATCCCTGCTCACTTTATCCCCTTCCTGAACCTGGATCAGTTTAAATTCAGCTTCATTAGACCTCAGGTTCCTTGAACGTCAGCTGAAATGGCAGGAATGGAGCTGGATGCTCTTAAAGTCTCTTCCAACCCAAACCAGCCTGGGATTCTGTGGGAAAAGGGTTCAAATTGTTTAAAAAGAGTTCTGTTTCTTTGCTGGGACAGTCCTGGTGCTCTGTGTGAGACTCCAGAATGGAGAGTGTTTGAAATGACAGATGTGATTTGCCTTTTCTTTCACAGATGTCCCCAGGAATCATTGCAAACCCCTTTGCTGCTGGCATTGGGCGCAAGAACAGCCTGGAGAGTATCTCGTCCATCGACCGGGATTTGAGCCCTGAGGAGCTGGAGATGCTGCAGAAGGTGTGTGCTGGGCCTGAGCTGGGAGCACTGACAGAGTGAGGCAGTTTGGGAATGTCTGGTGTGTCCCTTGGTGCATGCAGTGTGCACTGAATGGGCAATGGACACGGCAGGGGATTGTCAGCACCCACCCTGGGATCAGGAACGCTCCAGGATGGGACTGGGACACCTTTGGGAGCTTCCAGGTGCCACAGGCGTGGAGAGAGCACTGCATGAGGTGCCTCTAACTCTGCTCTCTCCTAGGAGATGGAAATGGTGAGAGAAGYCACTCAGTGGGAGAGAGAAGAAATGGAGAAAGTGGTGAGAGATTGTCTGTGTAGCAGAATCTGTTTGTGGCAGTGGCTCTGTGAGCCTTTGAGTCCCAAGGAGGGTGTCACAGGTTATTTCTGCTCCATTGTCGTGCCGTGGGGAGCTCTGGAACTCTGCCCTGTCAGTGCCATGGGAGCTCTGGAACTCTGCCCTGTCAGTGCCACAGGAGCTCTGGAACTCTGCCCTGTCAGTGCCA